TATTGGCTTTTTCACTACAATCAGCAGAAACCATCTTGTAATACCACAACTCCTTCAGCATCTTCCATTATCATGCATCCTTGCTAGGCTGCTGAGGGTTGAAATTAAAAACTGTAAATATTGGATTGCCTGCATATATCTTAACAGATACTTTGTTAAAACTCTAAAATTTGTATAACAAAATGACATCAAATGCAATATTTTCTTAACCGTTAGTCTTCTACATATGTAATGTGTAGAGTGTATATTTATTAAATTTGTGTTCCATCAGTCTCATTACCATTTATGGCAGCATAGATGTTCTCCTCAATCTCCATTCTAGCATATTCACAGATGTTATACAAGTGCACTAAAACATAATTAAATTTAATCTTGCATATCTGCTCTAATACTAGGCATTGTTTTTTTTATAAATTGTAAAAATTTTCTTTGAAACCTGGCAGGACCCAGGAAGATATCTCTTCCACAGTGATATCTGTCTCTGGAACAATCTCACCCACATACACCCCAATACATATTGACCTTAAAAAAAGCATTTTTCCTTAGGCATTGGAACCAGAAATATTTTCTGACAATCTTGATCTGTTTTTATGATGACAAGTCTTTCATTCTTATCATAAAAAGGAACCAAAGAAACTTTTTTTTTATTCAGGCATTTTCAATATAAGATATTGAAGAAAGCAAGCTCCAGTTTGCTTCATCTTTGCATGTGGTAGCACCTACCTGACCTTCTGATCAGAAGCTAAGGAGGGCTAGGCTTAAATCTATTTGGGAAGGGAGCAGGTATGGAAGACTAAAAGTCATCCTAGAAAGCAGCAATGGCATGCAATTTCCATCCTGCTGACAAGAAAACTATACACCTGTTGATGATATCTTGAAGAGATTTCTTCACATAGCAATATTTCCCTTAACCCACTGGATTAATGATTATTCTGCTTAGAACACCTTGGGCTCAAATTTAAAATGAAAATGCCCAAAAGATTATATTAAAATGTCACATTTTCATCTTGATTCAAAGCTATTTCAATGCCCTAGAATTGGAATTTCCTTGTAATTTATTCAGTGTATAAAAATCACCTTGCTAATAATATTAAGAAATAGATAACACCTGTTTGTTTTCAGTAAAGAGACTTAACTGGTTCTTCTTTAAAAGAAGATAGAGAAATCAGTTTGTTTCTAATATTTGAGGGGACCTACTACTATGCCCAGTGTATAATTATTCATTTTATCTGGATGAGGTTTAGACAGTTTCATGCCTATAAACTCTTTTATATGCAATTTCTAGAGATATGAGATTTATTATTTATTTATTTATCATGTATTGTGAGAAAATTCTCGATATCAGTTTCTATCTGCTTCTTTAGCCTGAAAGAGCTGAGATCAAACAACAAAATTAATATTCAAGTGTTATGAAAATATTTTCTGTTCTTTTACTTTTTGAATCCCCTCTTTATCATGTATATCTATTACTATATTTTCATGTTGTAAACAGCCCAGTCGCCTCAAAGCAAACAGATGGCAAACAAATTTAATAAATAAATTATATTCCTCCAGATTCTTTTAACGCTACAATCACTAATGTGAGCCATAAACATGTCTCTCATTAGTTATATCTCTATTTATTGTAATATAGGATATACCCTTTTCATGGGATATGACTGAAAACCAGAGAGTCTGCAATTATTAGTATTTATTTATTAGAGTTATATCACATCTTTCCTTTAGGAAATCAAGGCAACATACAAAGGGCTCCTACATAACACTCTTGTCTGATTTTATTCCCTCAACAGTAATATTATGAGATAGCTTGAGCTGACAGTGATTGAGCAAAGTCACCTTTCTTATTCTCAAATTCATCCGCTTTCCAAGTTCTCATGTTGACTTATTTATTGCATAACTTGTAGAAGTTCTTGGGCATATACCAAAACTAAGACCCTGTCTTTTTTTTCCCCACCGAAAATAAGACCTTGTCCTTTTTTTTCCACCAAAAAAGACACCAGGTCTTATTTTGGGGGAATGTCATCCACCGACTAACCTCACTTGCACACATTGCCTCCGGCCTCCTTTTTGCTGTCAGAGGCCTTTAGGAACTTCTTCTGTGGCCAGTAAGGCTTTCCTGAAGGCCTCTGCAGCTGATAACATTTTCACATCAATCTGGGGCTCCGTTATCAGCTACAGAAGCCTTTAGGAAAGCCTTGCTGGCTGCACAAGAAATGGGCTGGGAAGGCAGGTGTGCGAGGCCTGACTACAACTATCCAAAGGTAAGTAATAGGACAGCTCCACCACCCCCATCCCCACCTTAATTTTTACCCTGTACTCTGGAGTAGGTAGAATCTTAATTATGGCTTATTTTGGGGATAGGGCTTATATTGGGTGCACATATAATAATCAAGCTAGGACTTACTTTCATGGTAGATTGTATTTTCTGGGAAACAGGGTATTTGAATAGAAAAACCTCATAAGAACTATTTCCACAGATCTTACCTGCCTCTAAATCGTTAGAACTGTAACCTGCAACACATCCAACATTTTTACTGCAAGTCTAATTAACATAAGAAGGTAAGTGGTGACAGCAAACTGTCCTTCAATAAGTTTTGTTCACTCAGACTGAGTGATCACTCAGAGTACTCCGAGACTATAGAGTAATCACCCAATAAATTCTTAGAAGCACTATCCCTACAATATTTAGAAAACTCTTGCTTTAAAACATCTTCATTTTGTAAATATGAATCATGTTCACAGCTCATATTGATCACATATAAAATCTGATTTCACCAATCATTGATCACAGAAGGTTTGGTGCAATTGGGGTGTTTTGAGATCAGGATGATGCTCAAAATATGATTCATTTTCTATATATGAAGCTATAAACAAACTTGAATTGAGACTCATATCCTACAAACATATTTGACTCCTGAAAGAACCATGTATATAGGTGAAACTTGAAAATTAGAATATCGTGCAAAAGTTCATTTATTTCAGTAATACAACTTAAAAGGTAAACCTAATATATGAGATAGACTCATTACATGCAAAGCAAGATAGTTCAAGCTCTGATGTGTCATAATTGAGATGATTATGGTTTACAGCTCATGAAAACCCCAAATCCACAATCTCAGAAAATTAGAATATTGTGAAAAGGTTCAATATTCTAGGCTCACAGTGTCCCACTCTAATCAGCTATTTAAGCCATAACACCTGCAAAGAGTTCCTGAGCCTTTAAATGGTCTCTCAGTCTGGTTCAGTAGGAAGCACAATCATGGGAGACTGCTGACCTGACAGTTGTACAGAAAACCATCATTGACACCCTCCATAAGGAGAGAAAGCCTCAAAAAGTAATTGCAAAAGAAGTTGGATGTTCCCAAAGTGCTGAATCAAAGCACATTAATAGAAAGTTATGTGGAAGGGAAAAGTGTGGAAGAAAAAGGTGCACAAGTAGCAGGGATGACCGCAGCCTGGAGAGGATTGTCAGGAAAAGGCCATTCAAAAGTGCTGGGGACTTTCACAAAGAGTGGACTGAGGCTGGAGTTAGTGCATCAAGAGCCGCCACACACAGACGGATCCTGGACATGGGCTTCAAATGTCGTATTTCTCTTGTCAAGCCACTCCTGAACAACAAACAACGTCAGGAGTGTCTTACCTGGGCTAAAGAAAAAACAGAACTGGTCTGTTGCTCAGTGGTCCAAAGTCCTCTTTTCTGATGAGAGCAACTTTTGCATCTCATTTGGAAACCAAGGACCCAGAGTCTGGAGGAAGAATGGAGAGGCACACACTGCAAGATGCTTGAAGTCCAGTGTGAAGTTTCCACAGTCTATGTTGATTTTGGGAGTCATGTCATCTGCTGGTGTTGGTCCACTGTGCTTCATTAAGTCCACGGTCAACACAGCCGTCTACCAGGAGATTTTGGAGCACTTCATGCTTCCTTCCGCAGAGAAGCTTTATGGGGATGCTGAATTCATTTTCCAGCAAGTCTGGGCACCTGTCCACACTGCCAAAAGCACCAAAACTTGGTTCAATACCCATGGGATTACTGTGCTTGATTGGCCAGCAAACTCGACTGACCTGAACCCCATAGAGAATCTATGGGGCATTGCCAAGATAAAGATGAGAGACATGAGACCAAACAATGCAGAAGAGCTGAAGGCTGCTATTGAAGCATCCTGGTCTTCCATAACACCTCAGCAGTGCCATAGGCTGATAGCTTCCATGCCACGCCGCATTGAGGCAGTAATTGCTGCAAAAGGGGCCCAAACCAAGTACTGAGTACATATGCATGCTTATACTTTTCAGAGGTCCGATATTGTTCTATGTACAATCCTTGTTTTATTGATTGCATGTACTATTCTAATTTTCTGAGATTGTGGATTTGGGGTTTTCATGAGCTGTAAGCCATAATCATCACAATTATGACAAATCACGGCTTGACCTATCTTGCTTTGCATGTAATGAGTCTATCTCATATATTAGTTTCACCTTTTAAGTTGCATTACTGAAATAAATGAACTTTTGCACAATATTCTAATTTTTCGAGTTTCACCTGTAGTAGGAATGCAAGGAATAGAAAAGGTGATAAATAGTACTTAGCAATAGCAGTTAGACTTATATACTGTTTCATAGTGCTTTACAGCCCTCTCTAAGTGGTTTACAGAGTCAGCACATTGCCCCCCAACAATTTGGGCCCTCATTTTTACTGACCTTGGAAGGATGGAAGACTATCAACCCTAAGCCGGTGAGAATTGAACTCACCAGCAGAATTAGCCTGCAATACTGCATTCTAACCACTGTGCCACCAAGACTCTCCCAAATGAAAGTTAAAGAATAGTTACAATTTTATCCCTGTTAAAAAGGCTAAGGCTGAAAATATTGTAAATATGGTATAAATAAATATCAATATAATTTTCTCAACTAAAAAGTTTCTGATTTGTGAAGTTGTAAAACTGAATTGTTAATGTTACACTGTGAATATATGGTACATTTGCTGTTTTTGTTTCCTCTTTAGGATGGGATTCTTCATCAAAACGTTGCATTTTTATCTCATCATTCTCTTTTGTGGTGGAGATGAGCAATTTCAGCATTCAAACAATAAGAGTCTTCTTTCCAAATCCTCTACAAGTCCTTCTTCGTTATCTGAATCTCAAATTCCAAGAGGTCTCAACTTTTTACATAATGTAAGGACAAAGTCTACAAAAAAGAATGTACGTCTCAATATACTTAACGTTTTAAATAAGCAACACAGTGATAGTTTCCAAGTTGATCCAACAACTGTTTTATCTAATAGCCAACCACAGCATAAATCATCCCATAAATTCTCACAAACTGATGAAATAGTAAATGTCGCATTGACTGACTCATCTCTACGGGGCATGACATTGTCTCCTATGCCAGCAGAAAAGCAGCAAAAAACTGGAGGCCTTTTAAATCTCAATTCAGTGTTAAAGTGGAATGTTCTTGGTGATGAACAATACAAAGTAAAGGGAACAAGATTTCCATCCTCAACATTACACATTAGTGAAAGCTGTGGAATCCCAACAAATGGCACATTTGATCTATCAAACAGGAAACTAACCAAGGATGAACTGAGGGGGAAAATGGATCCCATTTTCTGCAAAGCTACACTGGACCAAATTAAAAAGTTTAATGCAAGTCTCAACAAATTGGAGACAGATATTGCAACCCTGATTCCATTATTCCTTGAAATGAAGAATGTGTATTTAATTGATGTGAGTTATAACAAAATATTTATAAATACCAAATCTGCAAGAGAGAGTCATAATCTGGAGCACAACAATCTTCGGTTTTTAAATCTCAGTCACAATCCCCTTAAAACTCTGACAAGCCTCACCTTACCAAGAGGTCTCAAGAGCATTGATTTATCTTTTACACAAATTAGCCAAATACCAAAAAATTTTGTTGCAATGTTTTCTCACATAGAAGAGGTATTTCTTCAGGGGAATCAATTTATGTACAATACTGAAGCGGTTACATTTAATTTTAATCCTGTACTTAGAATAAGAAATGATGAGAGTTTCTTTAATGGAACCATTTCATTTACAAAGCTTCCACAGTCCACTCCCATTGAAAGCTGCCTTGAGAAAGCAACACATCAAATAATGTTAAACTATTTCACTGAAACAGAGTTTCAAAACATAACAAAAAAACATATTTCTATTGACCTTAGCAATAAATTCATGCACAATTTCCACTACTTACCAAAATCTTTGCATCATATTGATTTAAGCAACTGCAACTTACAAGGAATAGCTCGCCCTAATCTTTTTCCAAATGTAACTGTGTTTAAAATTCAAAACAATAACATAAAAAAAATATCATATTTCCCAGATTCATTAGAGGAATGTGATGTTAGTAAAAATAAAATAAGTAGATTCACTTTCCAAGGGAAGGGGCAAAATTTAAAACTACTTAATTTTTCTAGAAATCTTTTAAAGCGACTGAATGTGAATAATTCCTATCTTTCCCTAAATAATCTGGATGTAAGCTGTAATTTAATTACAGATCTGCTGGGTGACATGGGAACATTTATGCCTGAACTGAAATATTTGAATCTGTCAGAAAATAAGATATTTTTTCTTCAGCCTGGATATTTCCCTAAATCCTTGGTTGAGTTGGATATCAGCAACAATGCCATTGCCATCCTTATGAAAGAAACGTTTGTCCATTTGACAAACCTGAAAATTTTAACTGTTCAAGGGAAACATTTTTTCTGTAACTGTGAATTATACTGGTTTGCAAATACATACCTTGCTAATCCACAAATGAAAATAAATGGCCAAGAAAGCCTTTTCTGTGGTTTTCCAAAGAAAAAGAGAGGTCTTTTGTTGCAAAACAGTAGTCTAACAATGTTGCATTGTTCTCTTGGTCTTCAAATCGGAATTACTGTCATTGTGGTCATTTTGATTATGTCCATCATATCTGTATTATGCTGGCATTTTGATGGTCCATGGTATTTGAAGATGGGCTGGTATTGGTGCAAGGCTAAAAGGAAACAATATGAGAAGAGACCAGAACACAAAATATACGATGCTTTCATTTCATACAGTGAAAATGATGCATCCTGGATCAAAGAAACTCTATTAAAAAACCTGGAAGGCAGAGGCTTTAAAGTATGTTATCATGAAAGGGATTTCATGCCAGGGCATCCTGTTCTTGGGAACATTTTTTACTGTATCGAGAATAGCCATAAAGTTCTTTTTGTGCTATCACCCAGGTTTGTCCACAGTTGTTGGTGCCAGTATGAGTTGTACTTTGCTGAACACCGGGTTCTCACTGAAAACCAGGATTCCCTCATCATGGTTGTACTGGAAGATCTGCCAACCAACAGCATTCCAAAGAAATTCAGCAAGCTTAGAAAACTATTAAAAAGGAAAACCTACTTGAAATGGAGTCCTGAAGAACACAAACAAAAACTTTTCTGGCACCAGTTGACTGCTGTGTTGAAAACTATGAATGAGCCAGTACTAAGAACACAGAGAAAAAGCTGCATCAGGAAGCAGACAGATGAAACTGAATGAGAAGCAATGCTGATGAAGTATTGGAATATTTGGAGTATTTAAAAAATCAAATACTTCTTAAATAGTCATCATCTGAAAGATACAATTATTAGAATAGTGAAAATAAACCAAAGTTATATTTTAAGTCATCTTTCTAGAAAAGTGATCTCTTAAAACCAGGGTATTTCCTAGGAAACTGTTTGTTCATATAAGTACAAACGCACTGCAGCAACCCAGAGCATTACAAAAAGAAAACAAACCACCTATAAATATCCACAAACTTTATGAAAAAGTACCTTACTGTTCAACCTACTGCAGCACAAGCTATGACAAGAACACTGAAGGGTCCTTGATGCTCGAAAAGAGGAGTCATCTACAACAGGGGTCCCCAACCGCCGGTCCGCGGACCGGTACCGGGCCGCGGAACAAGCCTTAC